ACAGCCTCCGTTGGTCTAGTGGGTAGAGGCGTTGGGCCACCTATCTGCTAAACCAACGCTGTGCTGAGGGAGCGGGTTCGATCCCCACTGAGGGAAATTTTATTCGTGATTTTTCGCTCGGTGAGGTCGAGCCCGAGCCCGAAGTGGTAGGCAGCCTCCTGGAGGGTGGTGAAATATCCTCCAATCACCCTGCGGCCCAAGTTGAGAAGAATTCCCGCAAGATGGAGCCCGAAAGCCAGAACTCCTAGTGCTGATGTTGGACAACGGAGTGCATCATTCAGGAGGAAAAGCGTCGACACAAGGAAGAGCACCGACCCCTCGGATCCAAGGTGTAATCCCAAAAGGTATGGAGCCCGATATCAGAACTTCTAGTACTGGCGCTGACCGACGGAGTTTACACTCATCATGGAAGAAGCTAGAAAAAGCGAGAGGTGCTCGCAAGAAGCGGAGATGCTGGACGGTGTCGGGCGTGAGACCGGGACCACCCTCACAAGGACGGCACTAGTCCAGCTTACGGTGAAGTTCTGACGAACGTACAGAAGAAGGAACATCAGCACAAGGGAGAGCACCGACAAAGACGGCTCCGGAAGGCGGGAATGACGCACGGTTCCTGAACCCCTGATCACCGCGCTTTGGCGTGCGGTGGATGCAGGATGTAGGGAAATGACCAAATACGTCGATGCAGCAGCACTGCTAAAAGGCACCCACTGAAGTAATGTCTAACGATGGTTCCGGTGGGAATCATGCCAGAGTTCGGAAGGGCCACTGGTGCAAGGGTTTACCCTGCCCACGCCCTCTCCATAAAAAAAAAAAAAAAAAAAAAAAAAACATACATACATACCAACATGTGTCAGAAATTCGATCTAGTTTAAGAATATATATGTAAAAGTACTCTACGAGTATTAGTTATGAAAGTCGAAAATCGGTCCGTCACAAAGCTTCCTCTATGAGGAAGCAAAAAAAATTTTTTTTTAATTTTTGATAATCAAAAAAAACAATTTTTTTTCTTCATTTATCGCTTAATCAAGTTTTCAGGCTTCATCCTTACATCATAACTAACAAAATAAGTCCTCCCGCGTCACGATACGTTCTATCCTTATCGAGAAATCACTATACACACAAAAATTTTTTTTTTAATTTTTTAAAAATCGAAAAAAAAAATTTTTTTC